ACAATGATAGACACACAGATCAATGGAATAGAATTGAGAACCTGGACATCAGCCCATCTGCCTATGGTCAACTGATTTTTGACAAGGAGATGGAATCAGTTAAGTGGGGAAAGGACAGAGTTTTTAACAAATTGTGTTGGCAAAATTGGAAAACTATCTGCAGAAAGTTTTAAGCAAGATCCACACCTCACTCCATATACAAAAACCAACTCAAGGTGGATCATGGACTAGGACTAAAACCAAGGACTATAATCTTCATTAAAGAAAAGCTTGGAAGAACTTAAGTAGTCCTAATCCACAACATAAACAGTCTTCCAAGTATCCTGAAAAATTTACAACAAGGAGAAGATAAAATAAATGAATGGGACCTTCTAAGAATCAAATCCCTATGCACATCCAAAAACTTCTCCAACAGGGTAAAAAGGGAAGCCACAGACTGGGAAAAAGTTTTTGGTAATGACATGTCAGATAAGGGACTTATATCCAGAATTTATAAAATACTTGAGCACCACAGCAAGATAAACAATCCAATTGAAAAAGGGCACAGGATATGAGCAGACTCTTTACCAAAGAAGAGATTCAGATGGCCAACAAGCACATGAAGAAATGTTCAAAATCCCTGGATCTAAGATAGATGCAAATCAAAACAACTATGAGATACCATCTCACTCCAGTCAGAATTGCAAAATTTAACAGAACATCAAGCAACAAATGCTGGTGAGGTTGTGGAGAAACTGGAACCCTTATTCACTTTTGGTGGGAGTGGAAAAAGGTACAACCACTGTGGAAGGTGCTATGACACTTTCTCAAAACGTTGCAAATAGAAATACCATTTGACCCAGCAATTCCACTACTGGGAATATACCCCAAACACACCGAAACTGCCACTAAAGCAGATAAATGCACACCCATGTTTATCGCGGCTTTGTTCACAATAGCCAAGAGTTGGAAACAACGTAAGTGCCCATCAACAAAGGAATGGATAGAGAAGCTGTGGTATATTCACACAATGGAATACTATGCTGCATTGAAAAACAAGGAACTCATGCAATATTATTCAAAATGGGTGAACCTGGAGGACATTATGGTGGGTGAAGTATCTCAGTCACAAAAGGACAAATACTGCATAGAGCCACTGTTGTAGAACGGGACTGACATGGGGTTGGAGGGAGACTGAGGAGGATGGGATAAATGATATATACTGCATTAAAAAAGATGAGGGAGAAAACTGTTTAAAAGGGATATGTGGTTAGGTATTATTGTCGTGACAGGAGCCCAGAGTGAAGGCTGCAGAGTGGAATGGACCTGGGGGGAGGGATTGTAAAACAATGCAAGAATTTTTCTTTTACTTTTCAAAGAGAAGAGTGTAATGGGGTGGGGAGAGGTGGGCAGGGAGAAAAGTGCAACAATGAATGAATGGAAATCCAAAGTCTCTGTAAATTTTCATTAAAATAAATAATAATAATAATAAATCTATTTTCATGCCAATTTGCAACTTGACTGCCTTGGTCCCCAAGTCATGGGCTGGGCACGCAGTACATCTGGGTGTTCACACAGAAAGTGACACTTTTCTCTTGAGTGGTAGGACCACCACCATGTCTGTGCTTGTGCCCATCTCTGTGCCTGGGCTCTCCTGTACTTTTTTGTGGGCCTGGGCTGATGTGCAGATCAGCTGCATTGACTCAGTAGACACAGAACTGATGTTGCCACAGAACCACCAAACAGTCCTGCCCACAATCAAGATCTTTGGGGAAGTCTGAACAAGGTGAGTGAAAGAAAATGGAGGCATTGTTCCAATCTTATCTCCACACTTTTCCTTGGGGCTTCTATTGGAATGATGGGTTACTAAGGGGCTTCACTGTCAACCCAAAGGCAGCTGTTTTCTAGGAAAAATATGAAAAAATCTCCTCTTGTGCAAATTGCAGCCTCTGAAAATCTGCTAGAGGATTAGCTGAGTCTCACACACACACACACACACACACACACACACACACACACACACACACAGAGTATAACAAAGGTTTGCTAGAATAGTTTGGAGTATGAATATGGGGTCTGCCTCTTGTTAGCTATATAATCTTATTCCATTTATAAAATTTTATAATGCATTGTTGTTGATTGCCTTCAAGTTGAGCACGACTCATAGCAACCCTATGAACAAAAGGCCTGAAGCCTTTTTAAAACTATCGACATTTATCAAAGTTCCTAAGATTTCCAGAGGCATGTTGTTTAAGAAGTGGAATGGGGAACGGTAAGTGCTTGTACATTTTTTAAGGCCCCAAGCGTGACCCTTTCCTTGTAGCCTCTCCAGAGTGCCTTCCCTTAAGGCTTAGTCTTAAAAGCCTACTGATGCTGGTTTACAGAGGGCTCTGGCCACATGGCTCAAGGATTTCAATGCTTTCTGCTCTGGAACTGGCCAGACAAATCAGTGTTTGGACATGTGATAAGGATACTGGACTCTATGAGCAGGGAGATGAAGGAGGACTTGCTAGGACTCTGAGAGGGGTCAGCACCTTATGTTCAACACCAACTTGTCAGACCCAGATCAGACAGCTGCTTGGTAAAGACTATCACAGCCAATGTTTCCAGTTAGGAAGCTTTGGACCATCTCTTTCCTTACAAAAAGTTCCCCAAGAAAAGGAGAGGATGGTAGAGTGCTCCTACCTGCAGAAGGGAGTCTTCATTCCATGTATGTCTGTCTAACACAGTCTCAATGTTGGCCCAAGTGGGCCTCTTTCATGCTGTAGCAGACACTAATGTCAGATCCATGCTTAAGAGGTATGTGGCTTGGGGGAGCCCATACATATCCTATCTGAACCTCACTCCAGGGTTGGAGGAGTATGGGTTTATCTTGTTTTGTGAAAGGACACAGCAAAGTCCCAGGGCCCAATCTTGAGGGAACAGTGCATCCCTAGAGTTTTATCTTACAACAGTGCTCCAAGAGGCTGCCACAACCTTGAAGAGTGAATGGTCTGTAGATAAAAATGTAACAGCATATCACAAACTGAAAACTTAAGTCAAGGGCACAGGACTGACTCCTTGGTTGGTTTCTTTTTGTCAGTTGGCCTTAAAAAGAGAGTATTTCTCTTGGACATATTTTACTCTTATTGAACGGGAAGAACTTTACAGCTCTACATGGTGTTTAACAAGAAAAATGCATTTTATATTACATTCACTTCACCTTCAGCCTTATGTCTTGCTATTAAATCTTTAAAATTTTACGTACAAATCTGTCAATCTTGTCCATGAAAAGTTCATATTCAAACAAATGCTTGCATAGGTCTACTACTTTCTGAACTTCAATCAACATTCACTTCCATTTTCTTATTTTATGGTGTGAATTTATAATGCTGGAAAGTATAGCATATGTACCAGGGGTCTTGACAGGTGTGTGGCACCTTGAGGAGCTTATTAATAACACTATTTATTAAGCCCACTTTCCAGTGGATCTAAGGTAGGGCCTAGAAATGGCATTTTAAAAATGTTCCCCAAGTGATTCTGATATAGGTAACTACGTAAACACTGAAAAGGCATTTAGGCACAATTCATTCAAATGCCTGTCAACTTGAACAAAGACCTGGAGATGCTTATTCAGTCAGTAACAAAATTTGGACATGACCTCTGGCTCTGTAATAAAAAAAGAATATTTAAACACTTGTTAGATACTTGTATTATCAGAAAGAAACAGGCAGATTTTGTTCATTTTATTGGGCAAACGTAATCCCTGACATTCACAAGTAAATTAAGGATGTACTTTGTGTCTTGGTAGGTTTTCCCCTTTCACGCTTCAGGTGGTGATGGAATGAGGTGAACAGGGCTGTCCTCTTTCCGGCATAACCTTTTACAATTTCCACAAACTCTGAGAGCCTTTAGAGGGAGGATCATCTCAGAAAAAGCCAGAATCAGACCTCTAGTAGCAATGGTGGTCAGAGAATGCTGTCAAATGTGAATCCAAGTCCCACACTCAAATACTTATTACATCTGCATCCTACAGAGGGAAGATCTTGAGACTGAAAATAGAGGGAACTATTTTGCTAAGACCTTTTAAGATTTCCAACCCAAGAAGGCCTGGAGTAGTAGTCACCTGTGGTAAGGGGTAAGAGAAGCTTTAGAAAGCTGAGTGGGTGTTTGTTCCACTAGGGAGTAAAGAACTCAGTGGAGTTTTGGGATCAACAGTGGTGGAGGCCAAAAAATAGCAAAGAATCTAGAAGAGGCAGCCATTCCCAGTAAATATGGCAGAACCCAGGGGGGAGGCAGAGGAATTGTATGGCAACTGCCACCCTCAAGCTACTGATACTTCTATAGTGGGTGGGGATCTTGTATACACAGATGAGAACAAGAGCCCTCGAAGCATAGCTCAGGGTTATTTTCTACTCCACAGCAGCCCTGTGAGGTGCTTTATTCATGATAAGATTTGAGTCTTGAACAAGATTATCTGTAATAACTGCTAGTTTTATTCCTCTAAGAGATCCAGAGGTAATGTGACATTTATATTTCTTTAATAGTTGGTTCATTAAGAGATCAAGTGCCCCCATTGCCCTTAAAAAGCTAGTTGCAAAGTATTGAATCTTACTTATAAAAAAAATCCTTTTACTTTAGCATGGCGTGAGTAATGTGTTCATTAAAATAACATATAAGCAAAAAAGCAAAAACACATGAAGACACCTTACAAAAAAAAGCATGGTTAAGTAGTTGATATATGTATGGACACACACATACACACAATTAGGGATTTTCTCCTACATGTGTGAACTAAATATGCCTTTTTGTAACCTGTTGTTTTACCTTACAATATGGAATGAACATCTTTCCATGCATGTGTGTGAAACTTCCCAAATGTAAAACAGACTCAGAACATGTGTTAAAAATACAAAATCCAAAGAGGTACTGGTAACAAGGACTTTACCTAAAACAAAATATTATTGAAAGCAAACTGAAAGTCAAAGATACACCAGAAATGCTAACAAGAAAGCAGGGGTCAGATCTTAATACTGAAGAATTCAAGGCCTAAAGCATACAGGGTAAGGACGGCTGCGGGAATGTCTTTGCTTCCAATGCATCATCACAAACTTGTTTCTTACTCTTCTTATCTCTTCCCTAAGCCTTTCCAACTCATCTACTCCCCTTATTATTTCTTCAGGGTCCAAATGCCTAACAGGAGTGTCCTCTTTAGAGGTCTGATCAGGCTGAACCAGCTCTCCTCTAAGGTCTCCTGGTGCCTCCTGGCTTATACCTTCTGCGGAAGGCTGAGAACTTCCTTCTGCCTCCTGAGGTACATCATTTGAAGGCTGGTCTTCTTCAGCCTTAGGCACGTTTTGTGGCATTCTTTCATTTTCTTCACAAGAATTTTGCATGATGAGTATGTGTTTATTATTTCCTTTTTAATAAATCCTAGAAAATAAGAAAATACATTATCTCTCAAAATGCCCAGCAACCAGGATGTGAGTTCCTATAGCCACTGACCACTTTTTATTCAGGCCCCTAACTGTTAAAGCATTTTAGCTAGAAGACTCAGGTACTCATTGTCAAAGTTTTCTAACTAGCAGGCTAGAGCCCCAGGCTCAAGATCTCCTCTACCTCCACACCTTTCTTTCCCTCCCCACCTTTCTTTCCCTCCCCCTCTCTAGCTTCCAGCTCCATCTTCTCTCCTCCGCCTCAAGCCCACCATTTTCCCAGCAGGCTCTGCTACAGGCTTCTCCTACTGTTGAAATGGGAGCAGTGCGGAAGCAGTTAACTCCTCCTTCGCCTCTGGTCTTCTTCACTTCCGCCCTTTCGGACTTTCTCAGACTATCCATCCCAAGCTTCAGTCTCTGAGATGGCTGGTCCAGTCACCGGCCTGGGTCCCCCCACCCCCCTTCACGTCTCTCTACGCGCCCCCCACTCCGCCCCTGACCTTTTCCCGCCAGAGTTCCGATACAGGTTGGGCAAGGGGCCTCCAAGCACTTAATCAGGCCAAGAAGCAGTAGTGGCGACCCCAAGAGGTGTTTTGGTGTCATTCACTCTCCCATCCTTACTCCAGGGAATGTGTGGCAATTCCATTCTTACACTGACCTGCAGGGATCCAGGGGATTTTTCTACCTCTTCCCTCACCTCGGTTTGTGCCGCGCCCAAACGACCAAGATTCCTGTGGAGGGACAGGAGTGCTTGGGGGGGGGGGCTGTGGGGGTGTAAAAAGACCACCTAAATTCTAGGCCCCTTTTCAAACTCCAGGCCTCTTTCCTCTAAACTTTGCTACGTCCGGGGTACCCCACTAACCTCGTAAGGGCCTCCCCACTGCCTCCTGTGCACCGTCAAGCGGAGAGTAGGGAAGCAAAGTTTTTTCCAAATTGTTTCTTCGTTTTTGGAGGAATCCTTTCTTCACTACCCTCCCACCTCCGCCCCTCGTCCCCGCTGCCTTAAACCCCGCACCAAAACAGTAAAAATAATTCGTACACAAATTGTGAGTTTGGCGGAAGTAGTAGAGAGAAAGTAGTAACGACTCTATATCTGTTTCTACTCTTGGCTTCTGAGCCTAGGGTCCCGCCCCAGGTAGCACTCACCTTCCAACAGCCCGAAAGGACTCCGAATACTTTCCTCCTTCCCCAGCCTAAGGAATCTGCTTTGGGGAAACAGGCCACAGACTATAAGGCCTCCTGAACACGTAGACTCCAGGTCACGTGGGGTTCCGTCATCAGTGAGCTCCAGTCTTTAACGGCCCCTCCCATTAGCCCTGCTGCCCGCCCCCTGCATTCCCACCACTTGATACCTTCAGTCTTCCGCTCGTTGACCATTCAGAGACAGTAAAACTGCTGTCTTCTCTCGGGAGTTTCTGTGTGCCTACCCTGGGAGAAGCAGCCTCTTGGGAGTTAAACTTCCATTTCGCCTTCTGTGCGGAATTATTTCTTTCTCTCCTAGTCCCTTTCCCTTCCCGCTCCCTTTCCTCTTCCCCCCACCCCGCCCCGCTCTCTTACAGGTCTCTCCCCTCTCCCTCCTCAAGACCTTACCTTAATGTTTCCCCCAGACCCAATCAGCGTTTAAATGAGTTAGAGGTCCTGTTGGAAGGATCTGTAAAAGAAACTAAGAGTGAGTGAGGTACATTTTTTTTAGCCTTCTTCAATACTTTTTTGTTTTGTTCTATGTTTTAAATCATCAGTATATTTTTAAGAGCTATTCTTCATAATTAATATTACCACTTTGAATGGAAGACCAATTAATTATGTCATATAGTTTGGGAAAGTTTATCATGGCTATGCATAGGACAGAACAGAGCTGACCCATAAGGTTCTGGGAGCAGATTGTTTCCTCTATCTTCTGGACAATGACTTTTGGGTGACCTTTTGAGTAGCAGGTGAGTACTTCACCTGAGCTCCTGGAACTGGCAATATCTCCAAAAAGTAGTGTTATGGCTACTCCATTTTATAGACTGTTCTTATCTTCATAACCAAATTACATTTTCCTGAATATACATGAGAAATAAATCCATTAGTTTACCAGTACACACCTGGCAGAAGACTAGATATTGTTGTTGTTAGGTGCCATCGAGTCCAGTACAACTCATAGCGACCCTATGAACAAAAATCTGAACCCTTTTCTATCCTGTGCCATCCTCAGACTTCCTGACACACTAGAGCCCGTTGCAGCAGTAACTATGTCAATCCACCTTGTTAAGGGTCTTCTTCTCCTTCACCGACCTTCCACCTTTCCCAGCATCATGTCCCTCCTAGCAACATGCCAAAAGTATGTGAAGCAAAGCCTCCTCATTCTTGCATTGAAAGAGCACTCCGGCTGCACCCTCTCCAAGACATATCTGTTCATTCTCTTGGCTGTCCATGGGATGCTCACAGCTCAAAGGTGTCAATTCTTTTCCTGTTATCTTTATTCATTGTCCAGCTCTCAGATGCATAGAAAGTTATCGGAAAGGCCAAGGCCTGAAGCAGAAGCACCTTATGCCTCAAACTGACATCATTACTCCTCAGTACTTTGGAGAGGTCCCTAACTGTAGATCTTCCCAGTGCAATGAGTTTCCTTATTTTCTGACTGCTGGTACCAAGGGTGTTAATTGTGGATCGAAGCAAGATGAAGCTATTGACAGTTTCAATCTTCCCTCCATCCTCTTACCATCCAGTGGTAAGAATCTTTCTTTTCTTGATATTGAGATGCAATCCATACTGAAGGCTGCATTTCTTGATCTTCTGCCACAAGTGCTTCAAGTCTTCACTTTCAGCAAGCAAGGTTGTGTCATCTGCATAAGGCAAGTTATTAATGAGTCTTCCTCCAATCCTGATGTCACACTCCTCTTCAAAGAGGAAAAATAAGACCCCAGGAATAGATGGGATCCCGATTGACTTATTTCAGTTAACAGATGCCGCCTTGGATGTGCTCACCAGTCTATGCCAGGAAACTTGGAGGACAGCTGTCTGGCCAACAAATTGGAAGATTTGTTCCCATTCTCAAAAAAGGTGAACCACAGAGTGTGGAAACTATTGAACAATATAATTAATATCACATGTAAACAAAATACTGCAGAAGATTATTAAAAAATGACTAGAAGAGTACATAGCTAGGGAACTGCCAGAAGTTCAAGCAGGATTTAGAAGATGCCATGACACCAGGAATATCATTGCTGATGTCATATGGATCCTGGCTGAAAGTAAAGAATACTAGAAGAATGTGTATTTATGCTTTATTGACTATGCAAAGGAATTTGTCTGAGTCATAACAAGTTGTGGTTGACATTGAGAAGAATGGGAGTCCCTTATTTGTGCTCATACAGAACTTAAATCTGGACCAGAAGGCTGTTGTGTGAACAGAGCAGGGGAACACTGCGTGGTTTGGAATTGAGAAGGGAATCTGTATGCTGGACAAGTTATATGAGAAGGCTAGGTGAGATGGGCCTTTATCTTCCTCTTTATCCTGGTTGGTTTCATTCCATCAGTATTGTAGAATACTCAACTACCTTTGAAATAAAATTCATCACAACAGATTTTAAATATTAGTGAATTTTAAAAGATAATATCATTATTCTAAAATAAAAGCTGTTTTATGTCTTATTAGTCTAATCAAAATAGGCACATATTATTTAAGAATGAGGACATGATTTCTGGACAGTAAGTACCCTGTGCCTCTAAGCTAATCTATGTCCTCTTTTTGTGTACCAGGAGGGGGCTAGAGATAGCTCCAAAACCCAAAACCTCCACTTGAGATGATCACACACACAAAAACAAACCAAACCTTTGGCTTTACCACAAGAATAACACCATACATAAGAACTTAACCAGTATCTTCATGTTCAATCCCAAAATTATTTTGCACAGAGGAGCAGAAACAATTTAAAAGCATAAAAGAACAGGAAGAATTGGAAGGAGAAATGGATACATATCCCATTTAAAAATTCTTAAGCCTCTTGAAAGATGATCCAAGAATCATTTCCTTTCCTACTAATCCACAGATAAATGTAGGTGTCTCAATCACAGAAAGGCCTGGAAATAGCACAGATGTATTTTGTTGCTCCAAAGATAAATTCTAGTGTTTTTACTAAAAGAATTATGCCACATAGTGGTACTGATTTGAAATATCTTTACCTCTTTCCAAGGATATTTCTCATCTTCATTATGCATACTATCGCAGCATCAATCTGGTGTTGTCTATCTTGAAACACTCTTTCAGTGGCGCTAACTTGCTCCTCAACAGTTTCTTTCACCTAAATTTGATTACTCTTTATTCTAAACAACTTGTGCTTGAAATCTCCATTAAAAATTAATTTCTGTCCATTTTCTATATCCTTTCCTTTTGGACTTTTAATCAGTACACATGCTTTACCACAAGCAAGAGACTGTAATGTTTTTTATAATTTCCTATCCTTTATAAGAGTTATCATTTTTATTTCTTAAAAATTGAATTCAGACACCCATGCAGCTCTGAACCACGACCCCCATTTTCAGGTATCGCATTGCTCCCCCCGACCCGGCTC